AGAGAGAGAGAGAGAGAGAGAGAGAGACAGAGAGAGAGAGAGACAGAGAGAGACAGAGACAGAGAGAGAGAGAGAGAGAGAGAGAGAGAGGAATCATGTCCAGCACCCAAGTTAGACATCTCAGGCCTGAAGGTAGCTTCTCTGCTGGTGGCACTCTGAGGTCAGCACTTAACAGGGGACTAGAATGAAGAGGGGCCCAACCGTGGGCCTTACAGCATCCAAAGAATAATGAAGGACAGTTCAAACAAGGTACACCACAACTCTGCGATCTTAAAGGAAACCCCCTTCTTGAAAAGTGTTACTCAACTATCAGAAGAATAAACAGAATAGCTGAACAGTCCAATTTCTTTCAGAGAAATCCAATCCGTGTAAACTCCCTCACACACAAGCCTTCRGGCCCTGTTGGCTTCAGAAGTCATTCTACCCAACACCGGGGGAATGGATGAACCATTGTGCACCAGCTCAGGGGACAGAGAGGGACACTTCCCATGGCGTTTTCTGAGCTCAGGATAACCCTGGTTTCCTGATAAGGGCATCAAAAGAAAATGGCCTGGAATTGTAGGGAGCAGTGGTGTGCGGTCCCCTGGGCATCTTTAACTCCGAGACCCTCGGCTCAGAGTTTCCTTTTCTGTCTTGACTCACGACACGATGTGCAGGAGTGACTGCAGCAATCATGACAGCCACCAACATTTTGCGGGGGAGTGCTGAGGCTCGAAGCCGGGGCCTCGTGCATGCTAGCGCTCTACCACGGAGCCACAGCCCGCCCTCCACTGATTTTTCAAGTACTTTCTCACTTCCCGTGATTCACCCAGTTCAGGGCTCTCTGATGTGTCAACTCACTCAACGCCCACACAACCTGAACCGGGAGGCACTATTACTTCCTCCCTCTTTTCAGGGGGAATCATAAAAAGACATCCATTCAGGTCATGCACATAAACTGATACAGATAATTCTGTTCCTGGGGCTGGGAATATAGCTCAGTTGGTAGAGTGCTTGTCCTGCATGCACAAGGGCCTGAGTTCAATCCCCAGCACCGCAAAACAAACAAACAACAACAACAAAAAAACACCCAGATAATTCAGTTCCTGGCATTGYGCTGTCTGTAGTTCACAAACTGCATCCTTTAACAGGAGTCCTCACTTTTAAATCCGTCCCTCTTARACATCTAAGGGACCACGGAGCTTGGACAGTACTATTCGTCGGGCACTTTTACAAACGTATGAACTCGTTCTGTTCTCACCCGCTGAGGGCAGGGGTCACTATGTCCATTCTACTGACAGGACAACTGAGGCAGAGGAGTTGCTCTCACGGTGGGTGCAGGAGGGAGAGGTGAAACCCAGGGCCTGGGAGACAGGCTGTCCCTCCTCCCTCTCCCCAGCACCCAGCCCAGAGAGGCAAAGGGGAGAGGTCCCTTCAGGTCCAGTCCCACGTGTTGGTCACCCCCGGAGCTGGCCATTCTGATTTCCRAATGGAGACCGTCTGTGGATCAAGCCATTGGGATGTTAATCATTTCCCAAGAGTGACGGAACGAGCCTCATATCCAGGGGTT